TCCTTTTCAGCAGGGCTGCTCTCCATGAGTTCTTCTCCCAGCCTGCACACATACCTGGGATTGCCCCGACCCAAGTGCACAACCTTGCCCTTGGTCTTGTTGAACCTCATCAAATTCTCATGGGACCACTTTTCAAGCCTGTCCAGGTCCCTCTGGATGGCATTCCTTCCATCTATTCTGTCAACTGCTCCACTCAGCAGAAATGAGACTAAATCCCTGGCCATCCCCACATCTCCACATCCCTCACTGGGCTTATCCCTTGCTCCTTGCAGAGCATACTGGCCCAGCACAGAGGCGACCTTGATGTGTTTTTAATGCATTAATTCCATGCTTTAGCTTTGTCTCAGCTCCCCTCACTCTCCTCATTTGCACCCTGCTCGTCCTTCCAGAGTAGCTCAGGGCAGGAATTTCAGAGGATGTATTTGCCCTGATGCTAGGGGACAAGGGCTCAGCACATGGGTGACCCCCTAGCAGCAACACTTTTCCTGGGATGATCTCCAATAGCTCCCCTGCAGAAGTGAAGTGGCATTGAGGCACATTCCTACAGGGAATCCCAATGGGCCTCAGTTTCCCTTTGATGCTCCCAGGTCAGAAGCAACAGCCAGGTGCCCCGCAGTCCCTTCACTCCACTATCCTGCACCCAGCTAATTAATCCCCTCACCATAAACCACTTTTTGATTACAACTTGACTGTAACTACTAAAATATAAAAGGTTTCAGGGCTTTACAGCACAGCAGCGATGGTTCCTATGAATTGCAATGCCTTCGCATCCCTGTTTGCAGCAGCCCGGTGCCTCCCTGTGCCACAGGAAAGGCTCATTGCTCCCTTCCCAACTTTCACACCCCTTGCACGAGCTAAAAATATTGGGATAAGAGGAAGTGGGTCTGTTGTGAGGAAGGAGGGGATCAGCCTAGCCATGGCCCAGCTCTCACACCCAGCTGTACCCCCTGCTCCTCCTTCACCTGCTGCTGACTTCCATCCTGAATGTTTCATATCTTTTTTGGAGGGGGGGTGGAGGGGGGAAATTTTAATTTTTATTTTAAAAAAACCCAAAACAACAGGCCATCTCTGAGCTATTTTAGCAGCAGCTAAACTCCAACAGTCACTACCTGCTGGGGATGGCATCCCGGCATGGGTACCAGCGCTCCTCAGCACGCACTGCCTCCCCAGTCTCCATCCTAAATCACAGCACAACAAACAGGCTGTTCATTACGCACTGTTTAATTAAGCAATATGGATCCTGCCTCGATATTTACAGTCCCACTTGCTCTGATTTATTAGAGAGAGAGTCTCGTTTTTAAAGACGGCAACTGTAAAGTTTAATACCGCTTGACTTACTGCGAGTTTCATTTACGGCCCCGGGCCGAGGCACGGCAGCCCAGGCTGGGAGCCGGTGGGCTATTAAATCAGAGCTAACTGCGCGTGCAGGGAGATGACTAGCTTCGTTACAACCGGTTCAGCGGCTAATTACCCCAATCTGGATTCCCACATTTAAGCCAATTCATTGCCGCTTTTCCAGGGCCCTGGGGAAGAGCAGAGAAGAGGCGTGAAGGCACTTGTTGCCATGAGAAGGGATGGGGGATGCAGTCCCCCCAGATGAGGATGGTTGCAGAGTCCATATGGACACTGCTTGTCCCACAAGGGAAGAAATCAGTTTGCAAGAGGCCAGACTCTGAGCTCAGCACCACTCAGGCCATGCAGGGCCGATGCTGTGTATAGTGATGGTCCCAAGCTCAAGGGTCACCCCAAAATAAACTGCCTCCTTCCTAAAACCCTGGGCACCTCAAGAGTTCTGAAGCCAGGCAGAGGGATGGCTTGCAGGCTCTGGGATGGGGTGAATGGGGAGGAGGATGGAGGAGGGTTGCATCCAGCCTGGTTCCGAGCCTCATGCTGTCTGGGCCCTTCTCTATGCCCCAGCCCCACGGACAGTGATGGGGGAGCGATGCACAGGTGGAACAGGGCTCCCCGCAAACTATCATTTTACAGACAAAAGGAGAGCACTTCTCTCCTTGCAAGATATTTCTAGCCCCCAGGAGCCCACTCACTGACTTGACAAGGATAGGGGCCTCATTAAGAAGTTATGAGAATGGCTCTTTAGTGACAAATAAAAACTATTTGTGTGAAGATGTGATAGCAGATGGCGCTGGGCGTCCCCCCACATCAGCTGTGGAGCATCATTGTCCAGGACCTACGCCATGCACAGCCCCATGGCTTCCCTGGGGGAAGGGGCTGCAGGAGGGCAGAGCACAGAGCTGGTTGCAGCATCCCTCAGCCCAGCCCAGGGATTGGGCTGCTGCTGCCCCACGCTGTGGGTGGGCAGAGGGAAAGGGAGCAGCAGCACCATGAGTAGAGCTGGACCCCCTGGCAGCCCCGGGGCTAGCGATGAACCAGCCCCTTGCTGCATCCCAGTAGCCCTGCACAGCAGACCCAGTACCCGTGGCAGGCAGGATGAGGGCTGCAGCCTGGCAGACCCAAGCTGAGAGGAGGAAGAGGAGCAGCTCCAGGGCCGAGAATCCCGGCCAGCAGCTGCCATGCAGCAAGTTTTTCCAGGTCTCAGCCCCTCTCCCAGCACCTGGCTAAGCCTTGGGAGGAATCAATTCCTCCCTGCTTCCCACTCCTCCCGAGCCGGCAGCACTCAGAGACAGGCTCAGAGCTCCCCCAAGGGAGGAAGAGGAGGCAACGCAGGGACCGGGACAGCAGCAAGGAGCACGGGGCTGCCAGCACATCCCCTGCAGCCCGGAGCTGTCCGCTCAGTAGTTGGGGTTCCCCACCAGAGACACCAAACCTCCCACCCAGAGCCGAGAGCCACGAGGGGACAAGTAGCGGCACTTTGTTTCCAAGTTTTATTGCCCAGGAGGGCTATGCGCCTCCACGGGGCAGGCAGCACTCCCAGTCCCACCAGTAAGACTGGACTGGTAAGGAGGGTAAGCCCTTTATGGAGGCGGAAGACACAGCCTGGGATAGGGAAGGAGACAGAAGAAACAGCACCGCCCATGTGAAGATGCCACAGGATTAGGAGTGGGGTACCTGAACAGGCAAAACCAGTCCCCAAGCCGGGCCAAGCCACAGCAAGGCTCAAGAGAAGCTGGGAGATCAGAAGGGTCACAAGTGACGTGAGTTCCCAGGCCTCAGCTCTCACCACCCCCAGCTGACTCCTCTCCCTGGCCTCACTGACCACAACCAAGGGCTGGCTCCTCTGCTCCCCATCACGACATCTCCTTGGCCCTCTGCTTGTAGTGCACCTCAGGAAGGCTCCTCAGGCGCTCAGCTGCCGGCGGGGCACAGCACGGGGGGCAGCCAGCCAGGGTCCCAGGGACAGCCCTGTCACAGGGCTCCCTGGCTCTCCACAATCCCTCTCTGAGCTGCACTCACCTGCTCCGGGGTGAGGTCTCGCTGTGCCTGTGCCAGCATCTCGTAGCCCACCATGAACTTGCGGACAGTGGCGGAGCGGAGCAGCGGGGGGTAGTAGTGGGCATGGAGCTGCCAATGCCCGCAGTCCTCCTCCAGGTAGGGGCCCGTGGGGGCTCCTGCCAGGGGTGCAGCCATGGCATGAGCCCCAGGGAGGGGACGGGGACACGAACACAGATAAGAGGGTCATGCCACACCACTCACCATGCCAGCCCATGGAGTAGGGGAAGGAGACTTCAAAGAGGTTGTCGTACTTGATGAGCAGCCTCTGCATGATAGAGGCCAGGCCTGGGGGAATGCGGGGAGTCACACCCAGCCAAGGGCAGGGAGCATGCCACATCTGGGGGCAGGGGAAGGGTGTGGGGGTGACCCTCAGCACCCCTCCCTGGGTGGACATCTGTGACAGGCAGGAGGGATGCACTTGGAAGTTCCCTTGCTCCCCACCCACACAGATAGCCCGAGCAACGCAGCAGGACGAGCCTCCATTCCTCATCACTCAGCACCCCAAAAGCATGGGGCACCATGTGCTTCATCACCCCAAAATGGACACTAGTCCCCACACCAGTACTGCTTGTGCCTGGATACTTCTTGTCCTGGTAAAACAGGGGGACTAGTTCCCCCTTGTACCCCAAGGGGACATGGACCCTCCAGCACCAGCAAGGTTACCACAGAGCTGCCTCCTAACAAAGGCTGAGCCTAAAGGACATGGGACAGGGGCTA